CAAGGACACTTCAGAACCATTTCAATACTCAGTGAAGGATACTGTCATTTACTATACCTTAAAAGCCTTATTCTTGTGAAAATTGTTAGTACAGTTACTAAAAGTAACATGATTAGACAACCTGTACTCAAGACTGTTCCTAGCAGAACAAAACCTCATTAGTAAAGAAGGTAAAACATCCCATATAAATTCAATTACAGCAAAAAAGCTCAGAATGTTCAATGTTTTTACTTAATGGCTTTCCAAGGTTGAGAACAATGTTTTCTTGTGACATTTCAAAGTCAAATGGCTCTGTACTCTTAACATTTAGAGCAAGAAAGACTTAAAATATTTACCTTCGAATGAGAAGCTAAAAAGGCACTTCCAGGGCTTTTAAAGAATAAACTAATAATTTCAGCTAACTAGCCTAATGTGGGTGGGAGAGTATCTACTATCTGGGGGAAAGTAAGAATAGTATCACTTCATCAGAGAAGTCAGGACAGAAAACAAGTAAACCTCCCTCACAAATACATTATTAATACCCTATATTAAGAACAAAAGTGAGAGTAATTCATTAATCACTCCTCACTTCATCTTGACCATTAGACCAGACTTATTACCAGCGAAGCTCTCTTGATCTCTTCCAACAGCACAACGCTAAGGCGTATTATAAACCACAAATACCTACTTGACTGTAGTTTCTCACTGATTTGAAGTATTTCATCAAGTACCTCCTAACACTTGAGTTTGTTATTTTACTAGCAAAATCACCTAAAGTTAACTGTTATAAAAAGCATACAGTTTAACGACAGCTCTAATGAAAGACCATACTGCTCTAAAAATTAAAGCCTGCATAAGGATTTGGACAACTTTGTGAGTAAGCTGATTATTAAAGCAGATTTTGCAGTGTTTTCATGCTTGAGTATGGTTTTAATTTACACGCAAATAAAGGTCGAAACTCTTAACAGAGCTGTGGCAGAGGCACACCACTTTGGGTAACTAACATTATGCAGTTGTTCTACCAGAACTGCAGTGAAAAAGTCTTTCTTGTTTGCTCCAAATGTCTATAGAGTAAGAATCCTTACACATACTTTAGATTACTTTTTTTCCCCTTCTATTTAGCACAGTGCAAATCTCCACCTTGGAGGTTCAGATCACTTACCCCAGCCAGACCTTAATGATTTCAGGGAAAGAATACGTGAAGTACATTTTAAACAACTGAGGAGAACCATGTTTGCACAGTAATTTACACAATTTACCACTCAAAATTGCAGTGGTTGCTAACATGCATTACCTTTTTGCCCTTTTTGGAAAAGAAGATATAAAAATGACAGACTGCCACAAAGGTCAATCATTACTCTGTCTGGCAAAGATGTTTGTAACAGACATTTATTAAGCAACAAAAAAACACTAGCACAGGTTACTAACATTGGTAATTATTTTAAATATCAAAAGACAATCATTGCCTCAAGGCATCCAAAATCCCAGCTGAAATGTCAATAGAGGAAAAACATTACTTTCAGAGTTCTGGCAGCTGATGCAACCTCAGGTAACACCTTGCGTTGCATGAACCATCTCTCAGAAGATCTTGTCAGGAAACATTTGGAAGCCTGATTTATGAACGCTCATCTCCTCCAAATGTGTAATACTGAAACAAGCTGGGTAAGAACAGAACACACTGACACAGTACATCACACTACTTTTGAAACTTTAAACAAGAGAAATAATTCAAAATGATTCATTCTCTTCCCAGGATTATCTTGTTCCATGTTTTTGATATTAATAATTTGCACTAGTTACACTAGGGGATATGAACTAATAATTGTAATTAATACCTGCAGCTGAGCATGTATTAATATGTCATCAATCATATGACACCCAGGACCTGGGATCTACAAATCACACTAGTAGAGTTTTAGGAAAATCCTGGTCTAAATTTATGACAGGAAGCCTTTAAATAATTTAAACCAGGGAAGCTTAAATTGGTAACAAGCAAAAACCTCCACAGATCAGAGGAAAAACCCTATTTACTTTTACTTATTCAAGCTCAATAATCCCATAATGCATCTATAGGATTTTTAATTCCAAGTAATTTCTAGAGTAGCACTATTGCTCCTCTGCCTGCCCTTTTGCTATCGAAGCTATTACACAAGCCACATCTTACAAGGAAAGGGTGCAATACAGCCAAAAGACATTTCTTCACCATTTGTCTCAGCAACATCTCAGATTCCAACCCAGTTGATCCCATGACTTCATGCCAAATGGAAAGAAGTTAAATCCCTGACCCAGCTCTTCAAGCCTGAGCCCAGATGAGATGCTTTGCCCTGCCATATGTGAAATGAGGCTGTCTCAGGCCAGCTTCCTTCCCTGAATGATGAATTTCCTTGATGCCTAGAAGAAAATTCGCCACCGGCTACTTCTCCGCCTTTTGCCTTACAATCAGCCGAGAGTTCTAGCATGGTGCTGACCCCTGCAACCAAAGGAATGATGCTGAAGACATTCCCTGCAACTTCTGAGTTTTTCCTTTAAGAAATTCCCAAGCAAGTATTGCCAACCCAAAGCCCTAACTATACAAGACAATAAGCCCTTCCACAGAGTGTCTGAAACACCAAAACCCAACCCTCTCTGCACACCTAAAAAGCCACCATATGTTACAAATTAAGAGCCAAATCCCAATGGTAGCATTAACGCAAGCAGCTCATCAAAGCTAAACCCACGACAGCCTGAAACCCATACAAATCTCAAGACTTTTTCAAAACCTGCTTCTACAGACTCTTTAGGTCTTATTTCCAGAGCCCCACAACTACCCAGCCAAAGCACAGCACCCATGTGCATGCGTGGAAGACAAGAGAAAAATCCAGGGGTTTTTAAACGCTTTCCTACGAAAATTATACTAAATTAAGCATCTCCTTAAGAGCTGCAGGGGAGGAGAAGGAGCGGCAGCCGGCTGGTCCCAACACTGCACCAGGGAGCGCAGAAGGGATCAGAGCGCAGGGAACAGCTCGGAAACACAAGGACTGAGGGAAAAGTTGGGGCTGAAGGGCCGAGCCGCCCGGGGGGGAGGCGGAGACGAGCCCCGGTAAGACAAAGCGCCTCGGCAAGCCCCTCCATTTTGGTCCCCCGACCCCACCGGGCGGGCAGGACGCGGTGCATCAGCGGCGGCTGAAGAGGGACCACGGAGGCGCCTCACGGCCGACACCCACCCCACGGCCACCCGCCCCATGCCTTCCCGGACCCTCACCCTCCAGCAGCCGTTGGATGATGCTGTCGATGTTGAGCTTGTCTATATCCGCCATCGCCTCTCAGCGGCCGGGCGGACCCCTCCCCGCGGCTCCCCTCCCTCCGCTCGCTGCTTGGCCGACCCGACTTCTCTCCTTGTTCTCTCTTGTTTCTCCCCTTCTCCTCCCCGCTCTCCTTATTCCCTCACAACCTCGTTTCCCCCCCGCCCCCCCCCCACGACCGCCGGTCTCAGCAGAGACCCAGTTCTGAACAAAATGGCGGCCGCCCCCTCAGCGAGCTCGGCCGGCGCACGGATACTACGCGCGCGACGCGGCTCGCCGGAAACCCTTTATAGGCCGGGCGGGAAGAACGGGGCGGGGTCACGGAGCGTGACGCGTCCCGCCCTCGCGGAATCCTTCCGCTCACGGGAGGTGAAATAGTGCAGCGCTGCCGTCTGCGGGTTGTAGGGCTGTTACGGGGTTTGGTGCCTCGGAACCTGTCTGTGGAGCGGGCGGGGAGGCCCTTTGGTGCCAGCCGGGCTTCTGTCAGCGCTGTCTCCCCGTGGTGTCTGCTCCAAGGTAGCATTGCCTCAAGCCACGAGGCAGTGGCTTGGTGCGAGGGGTGCTCTCCCTTCAGAGGAGCAACCACCTCCTTAAGCCTAAACCGGGATAAACAGCACCAAAATCACGCTTGCAACTGCTGTGCCACTCATGGGAGCTTCCATGGCTTGAGCAAGTTCAGATATGTGTCTTTTTCTCTGCAAACACTTGAAGCAACAAACGTACAGGGCATTGGAATCCCCTATGGATGGAGAAATTAGCCCACTCTTTCAAGAGCATGTTGCACTTTTACTTCACGCTTTGCTCTTTTATTCTATGTGTAGCTACAGCTTAGGGGCAGGCAATTACAATGAGGTTCTGCTCGTAAACGGGATTGCATTTACAAGGGAGATGGGCCGTGCGGGCCTTCCCCGCTGTTCGGTTTGCCTCTGGTTGAATATTGTTTAATTGCTTTCTTTACTCCTCCTTTAATTTGGCGGGGGTTGGCTGGGTCAGCCTCCTCCCTTCCCTGTGTGGATTCCTGCTGTTATCCAATATCCATCCGTACCAGTTATTGCCGTGGTGGGGCCGGAGCAGAGGCTGAGCTCAGGAGGGGTGATAAAGCGAAGGCCTCAACGCGGGAGGAAGGCGATAAGAGGACACTGATTTTACCTGAAACCCAGCTTCAAGCTCGCCTCCCCTTGTGCTTATCATGACGAGCACGCCCAAGCCAATATGCTAATCTCAGTCACGCTGGTGTAAGCCCGAAGTAACCCCGTTGAAGACAATCGAGTTACTTCAGATCTACTTCAACGTGACAGCCTTTGCAGATTTACATCTATTTTTGTGCTGCACCTTCCTGGGGAGTGCCCCCCCCCTGGTTCTTTTGCACCAAATGCTTGCTTTCTCCTTCAAATCCTCTCTTAATTCTGCAGGGCAAGTTGTTCTCCTGGGCTTAGCTGCGTTATTTCGAAAGGGAAATGTGTCCTGTGTTTCCAGAGGAACCACCCTGGCCTTTCTGGAAAGATCTTCGTCTTATCCTTCAGCTGTTATCCCTTCTCCAGGGACACGTTTTAGTGGGGTGCTGAGTCCCTTTCGCTCCTGTTAATGCGCTGGGAAATGGGGCATCTTCCAGGGTGCAAAATGGGAATTCAATTTCCAGTGAATTCCCAAGTACATCCCTACTTCTAGAAGGGTCTGGCTCTTCCAACAACACTACTGAGGGCAAAGAATATGTCTCACTCGCCGAACCATATCAAGGTCCAAAGCACCGTCAATTCTTGTTAAAGGAGGCGCAGCCACGAGGGAAGGGGAGAAGTGACAGCTGAAGGCAAATCTGTCAAGGCCCCATCATCACCTCGATCACCACCGTGTCTCCACAGTGACAGCCAGTACTTGGTGTCCTGGTTGAAGGGGGCTGTGGTTTTATGCACAAAGTCTGTCGCATGTAGGTTTTTGCTGTGTGGGTATAAAGAATAAGGACTCTACAGCAGCAACCTCTGTGATGAGCCAGAAATATTAAAATGCCACCACGAAATTATCTTTTAATAACCTGTATTTTCTCTGCTGGAAATAACAAACCTCGCCTCACACCGGCTTCTCTGATTAGAAAGGGGACCCAGCCAAGGTGTTATAAATATAGACTCATAGACTCATAATACCAGGTTGGAAAGGACCTCGAGATTCATCTGGTCCAACCTTTCTTGGCAAAAGCACAGTCGACACGATGTTCCAGTACCCTGTACAGCTGAGTATTTAAAATGTTCAACGCTGGGGACTCCATCACTTCCCTGGGGAGATTATTCCAGTGGTTGATTGTTCTCACTGTGGATAATTTTATTCCTCATGTAGTTGATAATAAAAGTCCCAAATAAGTAACTGATGCCACAGTCTGAGGCTGATTTGGTAAAACAACAATATGGATTGAATCCGCTATGTTTTAACGCGAGTTCCCAGGCCAATGTGCAAGACTATTTTGTTCTCCGGTGTTGCTCACAACAATGAGTTATTTCTAGAGGGGGAACAATCAGGGAAATCCCTTTGTCCTTAAACCCTGCACACAGCTTAAAGCATTCTGTAATTTTGAAGCTGTGGTTCCTATATTCCCCCCCCCCCTTCTTTCTGTTTGTCTACAATTTGCATTCCACTTTGCTCCATACAGGATGATGTACGGTTTATCTCACTCGCAGCTCTGAGACCTTTGTGTCTTTTCCTCCTTCCCCTCCCTGTAATTCCACAAATAAATCACTGCTTTGGTAATGTTCCTTGGAAACCTCCATGTAAAATATCTTTCCCCACTGATTTGTCCTCCCTATCTCATGCGCATGCCACTTGGTTCATAATCTGTGTTTAATGATACATATATATATAATACTCACCTACATACATTATTGTTTTGTACATATATATACGTAATATATACTCACACATACATAAGCCATGTGTATAAAATAATATGTATGTACACTATATACACATGTGTTTGTATATATGCAGATAATAATAAATCCCCTTATTTTATCCCTGTATGTAGGTGGATCCTAAGAAATGCGAGTCACCCACACTTCCCCTTCTCTTAGATTACATATTTGCTAAGTCCATGAAATCCAATGTGTTTGTGTACATTTCAAACAAAGATCTACACAGCCTGTTCAAACACAGCAAAAACAAGCGGGTGACTTGTGGGTCAAATGTTATTTTTCCTAGCTCAATACACAGCCACGATTTCAATGTTTTCATAACTCCTACTGTTTGCATCCAGATTTTCCTTGTGTTACAATCAAGATAAAGGTTTTTTTTTTCCATCCTTCTTGCTTCTGATGTCTAAAATGTTTTGCTGACCCTCAAATTACAGGTGCTGCAGAGATTTGGGGTAGGCGGTGGTGATTTGTCAGACAAAAGAAGAGCAGCTGGAACATGCCGCAAGGCTGATGTGGAGATGGAGGGGTCCATGTCCTGCTTGGAAGGGAGCTGATGACGCACAGGCAGGTGTTTTCTTAGTGTCATATTTTATTTACAAAACATGCAGAGCAGTGATCTCCCTCCAGCACCAAACCCTGCAAACTGCAGGCAGGCGGCTGCTCTGTGTGGGATGTGGTGAGGAGCTCAGGGCTAGCTGCTGCTCCCAAGCCTCTGGCTTCACCTCAAACCATGTACAGAAGCCAAATGAAGGCTCATCCCAGATAGCCAGCTGCAGGATTCCCGTTGGAGACACTCTTCTCACTGGTGTATCTGCACACCTTGATTTCTACCCAAACCGTTTCACAGTCTCAGCAGCTGGCGTCTGTCTGCAATCTCTCACCAACAGAAGCTGTCAACAGCACTGACGAGTCCATCTCAAGTTTGTTCAAATCACATTTTTGATAAAAGATGTGAAAAGATTTTGCTCAGAAAATTTTGAGACAGGCTATTTTGATGTGATTTGTGAGAAGTGTGATTTGCCTTTCCTTCCTTTCTACTACTTCCTTTGGGGTTTTTTTAAAGATGTACTTCATGGGTTTCTGATGAAAGGTGGTTTTGAATGAAAACATGGTCTATTGGTGAGTTTTGGAAGGTTCATACTGGCAAAAATACTACCAATAAAAGTCGTAAGTCACTTTTTTCAAATATAGAAGTGGCCACAGTAGGATTTTTCCTGCTACAGCTATTTGGATTAAGAAAACAGAGCACATTCCACCCCCTTGGTGGATTTCTTACACTAATCCAACTTTTAAAGCTAGAGCAGGTACATGAGACATTTTCATGTGTCCTGTCCACACAGGAGCATCCCTTGTCACTTAGAAAGAGAGGAAAAATGGTGCTAAAGTAAGCTTTGTCCTACTTTAGGTGGAGAACAGCCATGGTGAATCATCAAAGCAGTTGATTCTGCTTTGGGATGGAGAGGAGCTCCCGTCTTCTCGTCTTTGGTCAAGAATCAATCCACTCCACCAAAGCTCAGCTGAGGGATAGGGAAAGGGAAAAACTGCATTTTAAGCCCTCCCTCAGCTGGTGAGGAGAGGCTTTGCGAGGGGAGAGGTGCTGGGGAGCAGGGTGGCTCTCACCTTTGTCTGCCTGGATGTGGTTACAGAGGGATGTGGGTTGTTCCATGGTGTGGAATCTGCTGGTCTCAGAAAGATTAAGTGGGACTTTTTGTGCAGCTTCAGCTTCACGTGGCTTGAAGAAAGCATTGTGTGCATGTTCCTCATTGCATTGGCCAGAAATGCACATTAGCAGCCTGGGACACAGGTGCCTTTGCTTCCTCTGATTTTACCCCAGCATGACTCTGCTTCGTGGATGAGCTGTTTCTCTAATTAAAACAGTTGAAAAAGGAGGACCAGGAGAGCTGTCAGGGGAGTGGGAACATGGAAATAAGATGAAAGTCTGTTGATTTGCTGTTGGTCAAAGGGCTGCTGTGTTTTGCAGACCCCAGTGGGAGACACATCACTTAAGATGCAGGAGCAAGAAAAAGATCTTCCACACAGCCTGGGGTTCCCTAATTCCACTGGGGATTCTGAAATGCAGATTAAGTACATGGGAAATCCCAACAGCAAGTGCCTGCAGGCTTCCCAAAGTCTAGGACATGCAACAAGTGTTCAGAGGGCAGTGGCTTTGCTGGTTCAGGTTTTGTTTTTCCTTTACACTCCAAAAAATCGAGACCAATCCCACTGCTGGTTCTTGGACACTTGGAGTTTCTGCTCACAGGCAGCATTTGAAAGCATGGCCCACTGTGGAGGTAAGCTGCCACGTGTGCTTATTTATTTGTTTCTATTCTCACCTCCTCCTCGCTGCTCATGAGCCTGGCACATTTTCAGGAGCTGGGCTGCTCTTACATAACGTTGCGTCAAAATCCGTACAAAAGGATTTGGAGGAATCTGTGGCTGGAATCACCTTTGATCCCTGGATTCCCTTCTGATTTGTCTGCACAGCTTGGGTACGATGTTGTGATGCTCTGGGGCATCCTCTGCCATGAGCATCCCTCGGGACCAGGCTCAATGTGGAGGATGAGGTCTGGTCCCAGCAGGTGTGGTCCTGTGCTGGCTCCCCTGGGCAAGCAGCTTCTTACAAGAGCAGCATCTCCCAGGTCCCTGGGAGAGTATGGCCAGAGTTCAAGCCTGTATAATTGATGGTAATTATCCGGTTGAGGGAGTCGGTATGAAATGGGTTTAACTCATCTGAAATCCTCAGCCTGAGTCACACTGAGCTGAGTTCTCGGCTCAACAGACCTGCACCTGCATCCAGAGGATGCTTTCCCTGAAATATCTTTCTTCTGGGATGGTTTCTCCTCCATGTCATGGGCAGCTTCATCTGGGCAAAGCCCCTGGCACCCTTGGAGAGATCGTGGTGTGGACAAGGCTCACCACAGACCCACAGTGCTTTGGGTGCTGCTGTGAGCTGGTTTAAAGCCAACGTGACCTTGGTATCTGCAATCCCATCTCTGGGTCACAGCACATGGAGCCAAAGTGGTGAAGCCAGGCTCTCTCCCACACTGCAGCCAGGTGTCTTTGGGGATAAATCACAAGTGTTTTGGTTTCAGTGTGGTGATAAATCTGAGGGCTGCGAATGATAACGTACACAATAGTGGGTTTTAGCCAATAAATTGGGCTTTTACGTAAATGCTTCCATACGCACGTATGCTGTCAGGAGGCAGGTGAGGCAGGAGAGTTGGAAACATTAATCTATGGACAACAGGGAGCCTTGGAAACCTGCCACTTTTGTTCCAGTCTCTGCTTTCTCCGGGAACTTGGTTTTCTCCTTCTTTCGCTCCGTGTTTTACTTCATATGATTTTTTTTCTACCCTTTAAAAACAGAAGCCTTGTTTGCAGTAAGAACAAACACCCTGCACATGTTTGAACAGCGGGTGAGATTCAGCCCAGTGCAAGACTGGGATTGGGTGAGACTTCAGCATTGCATCAGCTCTGGGTCAGCCAGCTGGTCATGGGGGCTGGTGTTAAACTTCTGCCTCAAAGAGAATGTGGGCATGGGCAGTCTGTTTCTTACATTTACAAAGAAAAACTATTAGAAGAAGCATTCACCTCGTGGCCAGAACAGCTCTGATTATTCAAGGCTGCATTTAGGGTTCAAATATATCATTACATCTTGTTGCTGAATTCCCACTCCCTTCCAGGGGATGTTCGCCACTGAGTTTGGTGGGTTTGGGTTTATTATAGAGGTGGTTGCAGAAATTAATGTGCTTTGTGGTAAAGGGAGAGGAGTGCAAACAAACTATGGACAGAGAGCGAAGCTTGAGGGGATGTTGCCTTGGACAACATGGCACATATGAAAAGGGAACACGTGTTATGAAGCAGAGAGGACTGTGCTGGTCCTTTCAGCTCAAGCACTGAGCATTGTCATGTCGGATCCAGCTGCAGCAGAGGGATTGGCCTCATGTTGCCATCCAGACAACCATCACGCAGGACTCATGGCCAGCCACTGTGAGAAATCCCACCTTAGCCCACTGCCACCAAGCTGGCACAAGCAAAGATGCGCTCGGTGACAGGAGTCACATTGAAGTTGGAGTGGACACCCCACACAAGGTTCTGCTGGTGTGGGTCAGACCAAACCTTCTCATGGCACCTCCCAACACTCTCATTTAACTTTTCTAACACAGGGTGAGGAAGAGATGGCTGCTCCTGGGTAATTCCATGCACCAATGGATTTATACCACAAGCTCCCTGGGAGAGGAGGTTCTCTCTGGGCAGTGCATGGGGGATGCTTCACCCCATCTCCTGGCTCAGTGACCCCCCTCTGCTGAGCCGTGCTACCTTTGCTACTTCTCCCAGTGCAACCTCAAACAAGCGTTGGGTATCTTTCCTTCTTGGTAGCATGTAGGTCACTGCAGAGCCTTAGGGACCTGACAGCTGACATCCATCCTTGGTTGTGAATCTGTGCGTCAGGCTTTCTGGAGGCGATAGAAGTGCAGTTGCTGGTGAGACCAGCTGCCTTTTGTGTGGCTTCAATTAAATGTCTTGGCATGGGATAGTTGCCAGAGCTCTTTTTTATTGAAAGAAATGGTTTTATCTAGATATATATAGAAAAAGTCCCACCTGGCCTTTTGGAAGGGTTTCAGCTGAAATGTAACAGATCCCATATTCTTCTATAAAAAGGTGAGCTGTATTTTTCAGCTGAACTTTTTTCCCTTTTATAGCTGTAACTTGGCACACACGAGACATAAGCGGTACAAGGTCACTGCCCTTCCCCAGATGAGGAAGTAAAGCCATGGCACGTGCTGGGGGCAGCTGCTGAGGACATGCCCAGGGGGAACACAAGCTGTGGGCTGACCCCTGAGACCTGCTTGATGTTTGGGTCTGTGTAGGAGCATTGGGGTGGCTCAGAGACCCCCAAAAGACTGCTGCAGAGCCTACCCAGCCGATGAGATCCCTTCACAGCCATGACCTTGGGTCATGCTTGGTCTTCATTGCTCTTTCAACCGAGGTTAACAGCAGCTTTCTCTCTATTTTAACAGCAGTATAAGCATGTGCAACAGGTTAGAACAAGGCAAGCAGCCACCGTTGCCTCTGTTTTCTTTCTTCCTGCACCCTCTTAAATTTTGGTTTCTCAGATGATGTTTTCCAGACCTGGGTGTTCTCCCTCATGAGCCATACTTCCTGGTGCCCTTTATACCATGATGGTGTGCTTCAGTCCCTGCTGCCATCTGTGGAGGAGGAGGTGGGACAAGCCATCAGCTCTTTGCTGCAGTGTTATATTGCTTGACTGCAGGCATATTTTAATTAATTAATATTTTTATCAAGATTGCACTTATTTTTACAATGCATTTACTTATTATCAAGCGTGCAATCTCTTCCCAGCCCCAGCTAGTGAAGTGACCTGCCCCATCTCATCCAGCAGGCGATGCCAGAAATGCTCCAGGAGCCGCAGCATCTTGACCCACTGTAACATTTCCATGGGAAAGTGGGGAATGGGGATGAAATAAAGTCCAAAGAGATGTAAGTCACTTGGTGAAACTGTGGTATTGCTGGTGAATTCCACGGGCCTGAACACCAGGGAGCAAGGAGGGATTGGGAATTCCAGGGGTGCAGGTGACCACGATAGGTGACCAGTCCTCATGTGCTGAGAGCTTGGCCATGTGGACAAGCTCATTTTTGTTTGGTGTTTTTTATTGTGCTGTAATTAATATGGGAATTGTCATATATGCCCAGGCAGGATGACCACACATCCCTGTGCTTTTACTGACCCTGCTCTGGATCTGGGATGTCTCTGGCTCCAGCTGGGAGTGCGAAAATATGCTTTAAATCCTCTGCTTGCTGCTCCCAGGTTCTCCCAAGCACAGCCTTTAAATGCTGGGCCATCAACTGCTTGATTAATTAATGCTCTTCTGTTTGACTTGTTTGACACTGATGTTCAGTGATGTGACTGAAACTCACCTCCCAGGGCGGAGACAGTCTCATGCACTGAAAGGGGCTGGACGTGTATTTTTAGTAAAACAGTATTTTCAGCTCAGGATTTGAAGTTTCTGGTCATTTCCTTGTCCCTTTCTGAGTCACACACCAAGTTTTTTTTCTGTTTATTGCAGATGTTGAAGCCTACAATAATCTGGAAGTTAAGTGCTCAGCTTTTGGAGGGAAAAGGAAGGGAGCAGCAGGATGAGGTATCTCATCGGCACCAGGCACATAAGCTTATGGCAAAACTTCCAGGTAGCTCCAGTTTATATATATTATGATAGAAATAATGTACTGAAAAGGCACATGGCAGGATTTAAGGCCATTCCATATTATTGCTTGGCTCATCTGAAAGAGGTGAGAGATCAGCCCTCTTTTCCTGGTCTGGAGATGAGCACAGCAGGGCTGTCTATCTCTCTCTCCCCCAAAGCTCTGTTGGCTCATGGCACCAGAGGGGCCAGGGGCTGCAGCACTCACAGTGAGCCAGAGTGCCCTCCTTTGCTGCTCTTCAGCAAATATTCCTCATGTGGCTTCTTGCCTCTGCCTGCAGGCAAGGATTTAAGCCAGAAATGTTGTCAATTGTGTTTGTCCTGCCAGTTTCAGCTCACCTTGGAGGTGTCAACCCTGCAACGGTGTTTAACCTGCAATGCATCTGCACAGCCTCCCCAGCAGGCTACTGGCACACTGGGCTTGTGCTGCAGTGCTAGAAAGGAGCAATGTGGCTGTGGTTTGGTGTTTCCTTGCCCTGCTTTGTGCTGGAGCAGACCTGTATCCCCTGACAGGACCCACTGTGTGGGAGGATGCTCGCTGTTGGAGCAGAGGAGCTGCTGGGAAAACTCTGTCCCAAGCTCAGCAGCACCAGTTTGCTGCAGGCAGGAGCAAGCTGAGCTCTCACCATTAGGCAACGTGTTCTTCCCGCTCCAGTGGGTCTGTGCTTAACTCAGCGTCAGTCAGAGGAAGAGGACACGTGTGGGGACGAGTGTGTGTGGTAATGCAGGACCTTCCCAAAGCGTCAGGCTCTTGTGCTGGAGAGAACCAGACAGGCTGTCGGGAGCACTGAGCATCAAAGACACCAAGCGGCTTCCGGAGCTTCAGGGTTGGGTTTCTTCTCCCTGGGGGTGCATCCCAGGGCATAAAGCTCCCATTTCTGACCCATGGAGTCCACTGCCTGAGGACAGGAGCAGCAGGGATACAGGGACTGCATGGCAGCAGAGCTATCCCCACATGGTGCTGACTGCCTGTTCAGTCACTCACCCCAGCTTTGGGAGCACCAATTTTTGCTGGAGGAATGTGTGGGAATCCCTACAGAGCTCTGGGTTCCCCCACTTGTCCCTGGGGACTTCAGAGCCTGTGGGATCATTTTGCAGCCCAAAAGAGGATTTCCCACTGGCTCTCTGAGAGCAGCACATCCAGCTACCTCCTGTCCTCCTCTTGGAGGAACAACAAACTTGACAATGAAAATGGAAGCTGACAACAGCACTAATTGCTTGAGAGAGATGGTGTGGAAGTCTGGGGCCATGGGGATGGCATATCACAGGGTTTTAAACCTGCAGCTGAGTGCCCAGTGGGGTGTTTTGTCAGCTCAGAAGGAAGATGGGAGCGGGCTGTGCGCTGGGCCAGGGAATACACTGCACCAGTGGGATTATAGAAGCAGCACAAGTTGAGCTGGTAAATTATAAAATGCCATGCTTGAGGTCTGTTACATAATGTGCCTTTACAGAACCTGGGAGCTAAATATAAAAGAGAGTTACGTTTTGGGCTGGTGTAAAACCATGCTCCAGAACAGGTTTGTGTGGGAAGGAGTGCTCTGCAGCACCACAAGAAGCGGAAAGGATTTCGGGACCCTTGGTTTGCTCCCAGCACTTGTTTTCTCTCCAACCTTGCAAAAAGCATGTACTGCCCGTGTCTCAGCTTCCCTCTCTTCAAATGAGAAACAATAAACCTCCATTTCCTTGCAGCTGCATTGTCAAGATTAATTTGTGTTTGCAAAGTGACCTGAGAATCTATAGAAATCTGAACAGTATATCATTATCCCGATCTAAACTTGGCATAAGATACCAGCAGGCCAAATTCTCCTCCCACGCTGGAGGAGAAGGGGTTGTGTCAGCATAGCCGAGAGGAAAATTCCAGCCTCTGTTCCTAACCAACAAATCCAGAGGAAAATAGCCTTTTCAGGCTGAGACCATTCTGTTTTCCTTGAGGAAATTCCCCCCTTCATTAGCTCTGAGCAGAAGGATGAGGTCCTACACAAACTGGGCAGGTGACAAAGCCAGGAGCATCTCCCGTGCAAAATGCAAACAGGAGCAGAGCAAAGTAGAAATGCAGAGGGATGCTGTATGTGTTGGGATCCAGCCTGCTTGGCAGTGATTTGGGGCTGTTTCGTGTTTCCTTAGCTCCTGCCCTTTTCCTCTTCAGCTGTATTTTCACCACCAAGCTCAGCATGGCCCCAGCTTTGCTCAAAGGATGCAACCTGGCTTGTCTTCCTTCTCCTTCCTCACTGCACACAGATTGAAGACTGCAGTCATAGAAGAGCTAGACGGGTTTTCAGGTCAGGATTGACTGCTCAATTTGGGGGATTAAAGAAGCCAGGTACAGACTCAAGGACAGCTGAAGCATGGGATGTCAGAGGAAAGCCTGGCTGGATGAGCAGGGAATTGTGCTGCCACAGTCTTGCTCCATAGTGATGGAGAGACACAAAGACTAAGGTAGGATCAGCCTAGCTCAGCTTCTCTCTCAGTCTAGAGAGAACAAGGGGGGCAGCTAATGAAGGGTGCAGGGAGCAGCTTGCCTGGGTTCACGTCAGCCACTCATTCCCCCTCCAAACTCCATGTCCTATCCATGGGTTGCCTGCAGATGGGAGAAGGGGAGACTACTCCATTCCCTGTCTTTTGCTAGCACAAGGATGATATAAAGCATCATGATCCCTGAGCAGAGGCTGAAATGGGGATGTAGGAGCCCCAGGAAGCCTTGTCATCCTCCTTACAGCCCTCCCTGCTGTGCAGTGCCCATTGGGAGCTGTGTTTTACAGCCCATGCTTTCGGCCAGGACCTGACCAAAGAGAGTGTGCAGCCCCTCCAGGTACAATGTGTGGTCTCTTAACACCACCTGATCAGCCAGGCCTGATCCTGCTCCTGAGAAACCCATTGAATGGCTGGAAAAAATGTTTTCTGACAGGATGGAGATATTCAGGGGAGTTGCCAAGCAACTGGCGCAGCTCCTTTCCTCCCTCTGAGCAGTGAGCAGGCAGGGGATGGCTGCATCCCTGCATCCCTCTGCCTGGCCAGCCCAGCGCTGGTACCCCAGAGGAGGTACCAACAGGGACTGGGAAAAGCAGGGACTGGGAAAGGCAGGGGCTGTTCATGGGAGGGAGAACGATGCTTTTAGCCAGTGGGAATGACCATTCCTGCACACCCAACCTATGGCAAATCACTGTCAGCAGCAGGGCTAGAGAGAGACTTTCCCTTCTAACACATTTCTGAGCTGAGCAGCTTCTTTTTGAACTAGTCCTAGAAATGTGTGCTAACACATGGAGCAAAACACCCAGGAGGACTCATTATAACCCGAGTTTCATTAGTGTCACCTCAGCATTTCCTTGGGAGTTGCTTCAGATTTACACTAAGAGAAATATGCAGCCCAAACCCTTGGGATTTTCTTTTCTAAAGCTTTAATTTAAATCAACTCTTGAGTAACAACAAAAGTCAGCTGATGTCCCTCATAAAGCCTTGGACCCGCAGCAAGGGGTATGAGGCAACGCTTAATGGGAGAGAGGCAACTGATAGCTGCAATCTTGCAAAAGATAGTTGCTGAGTGAGTGGCAATAAACAGCAAATCCAGCCAGCTCCTCGAAATGGCAAATGGACCAGGCTGTTCAGAACAATCTGTTCCTTCTCCAGAGAAGGGATGTGGTGCTGGCGGCAGGCTGGGAACGCGGCTATTCTCGGCGTGAGCTGGTCTGAAACTCTGCCTCAGAAAAATGGCAGGGCCAAGACAGGCTCATTACAAGGAGACACGTCCTAAATCAAAGCAGTCTGCAAGTGGCTTTGATGGGCTGACTCTTCTCCAGGGAGGCTTGTGCTGAAGGAGCCCTGCTCTGCCTTGTCCCATGGCCCTGCTTGCTTCTGTGTCTATGGCTTTCTGCTCTGGCTGATGCTTGGGCAGGAAAACCCTGCTTATCCACCTTGTTTGGCCGTGTTTGGCCATGCACTTTACTGTCTCATACCATCACCTACTTAATCAGGCATTAACATCACTAACCCAGAAGGAGAGCAGCTAGTGCACCCAGTTTCTTGCCCACTGCTACAATTGCTGTTGGAAGAGGACACCCCAGCGTGCCCAAGCTTCTCCCATAAAGCCAAAACTGAAGAGACAGAAAAGCCTGGGGCTGTCCATATCAACAGCACACTGGGCTGCACCTCGGGTGCAATTCCTCCAGGCATATTTATTTCAGTTTTCTTGCTTTCCCTGGGGCTTGTGGGCTCCCCCAGGGTTCTTTCCTCCTGTGCCCAACCCAGCGATCAAGTGGCCTTCATTTGGTTTGGAAAAGTAAAGTAAAAGATAACCTGAATGCAGATGGTGCAGAACACCCGTGCAGCAGTTTAATTAATTGCCTTTAAATGTTAATTCAAAATAGTTTCCCTGAGTGATCTTATATAGGCAAATCCTCAGTTGCCTTAAGCCACTTGCAGAGTGAGTTCAACTAGTAAGGTATTCTTAGTCCTGATCAAGAGCATTGCACGGGACGGTAATCAGGAATGATTAATTGGAAATAGCTCTTCTAAACCAGGCTGTACCTGCTGTGCTCTCCTGTGCTGCCCAGCTCTACCCAGAGCTGACACAAAGCTGTTCGGGTTCTGTGGGGAAGGAATTTTCCTCCCTGATTCCCCCCATGATGTCCTGCTTTCCTAGCCACAAACCACCCCTCTCACCTCTCCTCCCAGTGCTCTCCATCTGCATCTGGCACAGACCATTTCCAGCACAGCATCTAGATTTGCCAACAGACATTCCTGGGGAAGAATGGGATCTGGGAGGTCACGGTGGGAATTTATTAGCTGGGCTTATGCTTGGAATAGCCAAGTGTCCTGCCAGACTTTCAGAGCTCTTGCATTGCACATCCCACCCTTAAGCAAAAACCCAGCCTCCTGCTTGGGTTTTATGCTGTAAAATGGCTGCGTCTCTCCAAACCTGCTGAGCAGCCCTGCTCAGAGCTTTGCTTTGCAAGGCTTTGCCTAAATCATAAGCAAAACCCCATGTTATCTACACAGAGAACTCGTCCCAGTCAGGCAAGACCCTGTGTGACAGCAGCTTCTGCGATAGCCCTGTCCTTGAGTCCTCTGTTCTCTTCTCTTACTCTAGCTAAAGTCGTCCCTCCTGCAGCAGATGAGTGTTTGCTACATGCCAGGTTTCACCTCAGGCCAGTGAAATGTTCTGAGGTCTTTTCTTGCTTTCAGATGGCAGCACGTCCTCAGCTATTTTGCTTCTGTGTTCCCCCCCCCTACGGCTGCAGCCTTTGAGCAGTAATTTAGCACGGTGTACCTGCTGCAGGCAAAGTTAGCATAGAGAGATGAAGCGAATCCATGTCATTAGGCTCTGCTGGAGGGGCTGAGCCTGCAGTGGAAAAGAGTTTTACTTTCCCAAAGTCAAGCCCTGGGGAGCTTGCTCCTAAAATGACCCGTTAAAAACCACCAAGTAACGCCACGGAGTCGGTTCCCTGCTGGAAATCACATTTTGCTTGGTGTCAGCAATTCAGAAGAGACCCATCTGCAGGAAATTATGATGACAATTTCCTCTTTGAGTGAAGAGGAATTACAGCTGTAATCGAGGAGGCAGTGAACAGCCTCCCTTCTCCTTGCTTAGTACCAATTCCTCTTAAAACTTAAAGCCATACGTAGAAACATTTCTACCCCATCCCGCTACCTAAAGGCCATTGCTGCTGCACTCACAGTCTGTCAGGAAAAACATACCTAGAGGTGAAAGCCAGTGACTTTTGTGCTATTTTGTCATCTCTAATGATAGATATGATGGATATGCACTTGTTATTTTTACACTGTAGACTTCCAGCGTGAGAACGATGTCCTGCTGCGTGCTTGTAGAGTCTCTGGCACATTTGGCTTTGATTTTGTTGAGGTTTTAAGTGTTAAATCAGGAAAATTGCATCAGATGTTTGCAGTGTTGTTGCAGATGCTGGGCATGAGAGCCTTTTCTCCCAGAAGGGTGTGTGCTGAGGACAGGCAGGCAAGGAGAAGTGACATCATGCAGGGAGAGAATGGCTCAGCATTTGAGGATTAGATGGTGTGTATTTTAATAAACCTTTTCTGTAACAAACAGAGCAAAACTCAGGCCAGTTGCGAAAGGCTGCAGGTCTACAACTGTCAATGCATTTGCAATGCTTTTAGGACCAAAACTGCATGAAGGTTGGTATGGTTCATGCACATATGAAGATAGCCATTCTTCAGAGGAAAGAACTAAAACCTGGGGAGAAGATGTGCTCATGGGAGGCCATTCGCAAGCCAAGTCTCGATAAGGTGACACCGTGATGCCAAGGAATCCCTGCAGGTCCATGACATAACATTTCAGCAAAGGTGGACCTAGTGTGTGCCTGAATTTGGGACCTCTTCTATAAGGTTTTGCCATTGGATTGCTGGCTGAGAGGATCTTTCCCCATCCTCAGCTGCCTTAGCAGTTGTGAGCATCTTCCTGCACCTCCCAGCACTACTGCTGGAGCTGATGGGAGTTTGATTAAGATTTAATCCAGGCTTTTAGAGGAGGGAAAAAAGAAAGTTTTGACAGTTCCATATATAGTCCTCTGACTCACAGATTTCATGTGTCAAACACCAAAGACGGGTTAAGTAGAACTAAGTTCTGGATTTGTTATAAATAGGCATTAGGTAACATGAATGTATTAAATTTGCATGAAAATATGGGCCTTATTCTCTGGCTTACCCCAGAGATCTTCTTGGACGTCAATGGGATGCTCAAAAGATGAGCTTACATCAGAGTCAGCCCAGTTCTGACCGTCCCCTGCCGCCACCATTTAGCTGGATCCAGTGAAATGGGGAAATCATTGCTGAAGTCGGGAAGGAATTGTGCTGCTTGCAGAGATCAGAATTTTGCCCTTAAAATAGTACAAATAGTTTTAATTGGACCACAGATCTTCAGCTGAAGGAATAATTTCTCCATGTCAATCAGTGCTAAATGTACCTATTAAATCAGGGAAGATGGGTTAAGTGAGAATTGCATAGAAAGTCACTTTTCTTCTGTTTTTTCCCAGAAGACAAAGATTTGTTGGATTCAGATGCTACAGACTATCTCATCCTGCTCTGATTACTGTTCTGCTCAGCCACAGCTTAAAGGTCCATCCAGACAATGAAGTCACCCTCACTCAGAGCAAGTCTGACAGCTGAGCATTGTTTGGGTGAAAACAACCTCCTTTAGTAAAATAAATGAGTGTGACAGACACAGACTCTACCAAGTCAGAACCCTCCTCAATAGTTTAATTTACTGACTTGTTCATTGCTAAACAATTGAGAATTGGTCCATGGAGAAGGAACACAAAAAGGACAGATAATATGGGCTGTATTTTGAGGTTGGACTAGTCCAAGCCAAGGGAAAATAGGCGTTTGAGCCATTCAGCAGCATTGCTTCTGGGAAAATAATGACCACCCCTGCAGCTCTACCTTTACTCTGGACTGGAGGTTTGGCCTTATTTCTGCTGAGGGTGAAGAGAAGCAAACTGGAGAGAAGGGGATCTGCAGTATGACACAGCCAGGGCCACCGAGACAGAGTGACAACTTCATCCCTGGAGATGTTGCTGTTACTATCCCACGGAGCTGTCACTCATGCAGGAACAGCACAAAAAGCTCTGGGAGCTTCCCTGGGCCCCTGTGGGACCCTCAGGCTCTGGTGCCTTCCCAGCGTTGCTCTGCTTTTGGTTGAGATTCTTCTTATCTAACGTCACATTCTGCTTTTTGCCATGAAAATCATTTCCAATTAAACGCATCCTCAGAGCCTATCTGGCTGTGAATTAGCCTGGAACTTGATGACTGGCTTGTTAGCTCATCAAAGTCTCCAGGCTAACGGGGATGGGCAGCCTCAGGAGTGATGTGCTGGCTGGGGATTTTGCTCTTTGCCTTGAACTCACCGCAGCTCTGCAAACCGAGACACGGATGCCCTTTGCTCACCTTCAGCACTTCTCTATTCCCCTTCATCCCGCAGCTGAGTAAGCAGCACAAGGACTACAAAACACAGCCCTGCTGCAGCCTCCAGCTCTACCTCATGCTTCTGCCCTCCAGGGATCGCAGGGTTTGCTGAATCCCTGGGAAGAAGCTGGACACGCGCTCCATCTTATGAGGAAGGGATTATCATAGCCCTTGTGATTCAGCCCACAGCTCCCGTGTGCATGGAAAGGAGAGAAGCGGGTATGAATCCTTAGTTTGTTCCCTGTATTGGCTCTGTCTCTGTCCCCGCGTTGGCAGTGCCTGTTCTCCCAATGGCAGGCATCTCCAGGGTGTCTGGGTGCTGAGGCAGTGGCAGCGATGTGGTGATTGCTGCTTCTCCATGAGCAAAACAGATTGAAACTAGGTATGATGTCCAGGGAGCTGGTTGCAAGGAAGGGAAGGGAATGGCAACTCTGTGGCTCTTGACAGTGAAACCCTGGGTTCTGCTTTCCAGTTAGAGCAAAAGGCTTCAAAGTCCCAGGTTATGGGATGGTTGAAATATTCAAAGGGAAGCAAGAACCAGTAAAACGAGGGTTTCTGCTTGCTGTGGACACGCAGCCACGGAGACATCAGAGCACATGCTTCGGGGCTGGTTTTGGGGCATGGAAACCCCTTTGGTCCATGTAATGGGGGCTCCCAGCACTTCCCTGGCCACCCTCCTTGGTGATGGTCCCCGTGGAGAACACGTCCACGTTCTGGTGTGATGTTGCTGTCATGGTAACCGGGGTCGGACCGGTACCCGCCCTCTGATGGGTTCTTAACTGCTTCTGTGCTTCCCACTGGAAATAGGGGCTGTTCTTGGGGAATAACTGACTGCCATCGTGGTCCTGCCCCCTGGCTGGAGAAGAACTGCAGCATCCTGCAGCAGGGTGAGCAGCATTGCGGGCTACAGGGGAGCCTGGACGGCTTCAGGGGGGCTGGGTGGGGTGGGACTAGCTTTGTGGGTGAGGTCTGGGGGGTCGGCCCCAGTGCTGCAGAGGGATGGGGGCTGCATCCAGGCAATGTCCTTGCTCATGCTTCCAGGGGACTCTGCCTCCTGGCACAGGGGGTCTGGCCTCACTGGGATTTCTATGGAAACCCAGGTACTGAATGGGATGGAATAGCTCAAACCATCTGTTCTTCCCCTGCTTATAAACTGGATAAGAGGAGCGTGCTTCGTGATGACATCCCTACACATGTTCTTCTTTTATTCATTGTGCAGCCATCTGTGATGGTTTCCTTATGTGCCAAAACACCCGAAGGACACAATCATACAACCAACCCCTTACCCAGGTTTTGTTTCTCCCCTTGGAAAGCAGGCCTGTCCCCGTGGAGGCTCTATCTTCCCCTTCCCAAGGTGCCTGCAGGGTGACTGCAGAATTAGCTGGAAGAAATGAGGAAGTCGAAGGTAAAAACTGAAGCACAAACCAAAACTAAATTGAGTCTGCCTTGGGGATCTTCCCTACAGAAAGAGATGCTGTGGTGCAGTGAGCTAGATGGCTGGTGGGGAGGGAGCCAGGCTTTCTTCTGCTAGCAAGGTGTTGGGTCTGATTCTGCTGGGGATGAGTCCATGGCCTGATATTTGGGTGTTGGGGAAGGCAGGGTTGGGAGATAACACCTGAGGACACAGGCAGTGGTGGATCTAAATGCCACAGCTTCAGTGCTTACCTGTTGGGCAGTTTCTCAGCTAGAAGTCACCTTCGCACAGCTGGGGATGTGAGCACTCCTGCTCCACTCCTGGGCAAAGCTGGGTTTGTTCACATCCACCAGCATGGTGGGCTTTGCTCTGAAGCTGGTCAGACCCACTCATGGGGTTGGTTTACGTGGCTCTGGTTTTGGTGTTGACACAGAGCTGCAGGTGATGCCATTAACCCACTCCCCTGTGTCCAGCTCCACTGTCTACCAGAAAATGCTGGTTGCATTTGCTCAAGTGACCAAACTCCCTCTCTGTGACAGAGGCAAGGACACCCCTCGAGGCAGGACCTTTCAGATGAGCCTGTGAAGGTGTCAGAAAGGATGGTTGTGTCCGAGATCAACAGACTGCAGAAACAGTTTCGGATAGCAATGGAGAAGAGGAAGTCTTACAGTACCAACCTGAAACAGCAAATACTGGCCCAGGAGTGAGTTCAGCTTCACTCAGTTTCATTGTGCTTGGAAAGCTCCTCCATGCTAAGATCTAGGGACCCTGGTGCTGAGATGGAGGGCGGGTGTAGGACCTGCTGTGGTGTTGTAGATGGGATGTGCTAAATGTAATTTGTGGTTCTGTTTTCACAGAAAAGAAATAGAATCTCTGACTCAAGAACAGAGAGAGGTGTCACTAACAATAGGCCAGATCATGTCCCCAAAAAATAGGATGCTGGATGACAGAAATTGCAAAGAGGCCCAATACCTTTTGCAGATCAGATATCAGTATGATTGTCTGATTAGAGAAAGAAAAGCACTGTTAGCTGTCCTGGACAACCAGGTAAGAACATCTGGACTGTTTCCTACTGAGCATGGTACAGCAGAGCAGTCACAGAGTGATCCCTGGAGCTGAAATGCCTCAATGTAAAATGCATTTAGTTCAGGTCTTGGAACATAATACTGCCTCCTGGCAAAAGACACATGACAATGACAAATGGATAGAGCCATTCAAGTCAGCAGTGCTGGCTGGAAAAGTAAGGTCTGACCCTCAACCTTGCTGTCCTAGTCTCTGCAGCTCCTCTTTGATGGCACACACCTGCCTGGGGTCAAGCAACATCCCTTTGCTTTCCCCTTGACTTTTCCTCCTGAAAAAGAGGCAAAAATGGAACATTAGTTGTGCTGCCTGAGACATGGCAAATTGAGGAGCAGCAGCACCTGTGGGATGTACCATTACTTCCCCTCTGGGCAGGCTGGTTGGATTTGGTCTGAGGCCAAGGGAAACCTAGTGCTACAGAAGCGACAGGTCCTTGCTGCTTCCTGCTCTGAACAAGTTGCCCGTGACAGAAATCAGGGAACATGCTCGGATGGTTTATAGTTGCTATAGGTGCTGCAGAGCTTTCCACACCAGGGTTAGCTTTCCATCAGGGATCTCTTGGCTGAGTCATTCCTCTCCCACCTGCTCCCTGCTTCGTTGTTCTCCAACTACTTTATTCTTCTCCTGGATTTATTTCCTCTGGCAGCATCTCACTTCTGGAAGAAGTTTTTCTCCTTTCAGTCCCAGGGATGACTGCACAGATCCCTGTCTGGCCAGCACAATGTGACTACCAAAACCCCATCCTCATTGCCTCTTCCACTTGATGCAGAGTGCTGCTGTGCCTTGTCCAACACCTGCTGACTTTCCCTCCAGAGGCAGCTACATTTCCTTCATGACATGAAAGTAAACCCATTCCTAGTTACAGTTTATGTTTCTGCATGTGCAGGATGGGATCCTTTGGGATTAAAGCTGTTTCTATAACTGTGAGATCATTAATGACATGGTTGCTGTAGTTCAAGTCAACAGTGGGTATTTTCTTTGGCTTAGTGTCCTGACAAGAGTCCAGAACACAGGGGTGGAGATTAAGCTTTCCTTTTATTATGATAATTATTATTTTTAATCTGGGTTGCAGATAGAAGAGCTGGAAAAAAAGGTTGTGAAGCAAAACCTGATAGCAAGCAAGGTGAAGCAAGCAAACTGTATCAAACAGCTGCAGAAGCAGATTGACACACTGGAGATGCGTCTGTACAATGTAAGCAAACCTGTTGCCCACCTTTGGAGACCAGGTGTGAAACCCACTTTTTAGTAAGGACAAAGGGGAATGGTGCATATGCATTTGGTTGGCCTGAGCTGCATAAAGGACGTGGCTGTTCCCCTGGCCTGATTGCTCCCAGAATATCTCGAAGGCTCCTTCAAACTTTGTGACCCAAATGCAGCACTTGTGCCATGCCGAGAAGCCTGAAGGTCTGCACCTGTGTAGCAATAAAACCAAGCTGCCTGAAGCCACCTTGCTTTGGACAATGCCAGCTCCAGATCTCTGTTGTGGTTGGCCTGACTTACTGTTGCCTCCCCTGTCTTGGGGAGGATAGTGCAGGGCCAACTTAAGATCTCTTAGACTGCTTGTCCTAAGTCTGGTCAAGGTCTTTCAACAGAGACCTGAGTCCTATACCAGCTTCAAGCTTTTTGCATCTCTCTTCCCAGGCCAATGTCCATTTCAATACCATCCTGGCCAAAAATGACAAGCTTCGAGAAGAGATTGAAAGCCTGCAAATCCAGAAGGCTGTTTTGGACAACTTCTACTTCAAGCTCCATACAAAGCTGGATCAGCAGAAGAAAAGGATGAACACTGCTGTTGAGCAAACCACACAAGCCTACGAGCAGCTGTACGTGGCCTTGAGAACCCTGTGTGGCAAACTGAGCACCAAGAGGCAATGCCAATGATGTGTTGATGTAAAGACAGAGATTTCAACTTCAGAGAGAGGATTCAGCACCCTTGTCTAGAGCTGGGTGCTAGGATTAGGTGTCTGATCAGGGAGGCTGGTACACATGATGTAACCTGCTGCTGCTCTCTGTGTGCAGGTCAGAGGCCCAGACAAGGATTGCAGCCATGATCGAAAGGCACAAGACAGACACTGCCCAGTACCACATCGAGATGCAGGAGCAGGAGCGTATCCTTGCACGGGAGACCAAATTGAAAGCCTTCATGCTTGCCAGATTTACTGATCGCTCTGAACTGGAGGAACAGGCCAAAAAGAAAAGAGGTATCAGAGCAGAAAGAACATGTGCAGCTGGGACTGCCAACCAGGAGCCTGCAGAGCTGGCAAGGGGGCTGTTTAAAGTGATTTATATCACTGAACCCCAAAGGAAGGACCTCTCCCCTTTCCAAAGGCTCCTTCACCCAACTTTCACCCTACAAGTGAAAAGGATGAACAGTGATAACCACCCAGCACTGTGTGTGCCCTTGGGGCAGAGGGAGGGATGGGGCGGCTGCCCCTAAGTGCAACCATGTCTCCTTTTATCCTCCTGGGGAGGGATCCCACTGTGTTTGGCCCATTCCTGTGAGGACAGTGACTTCCCTGCTTAGTTTCAGTGTGAAACCAGGACACCTTTTCCCCCTCTGGCACTGGTCCACCCTGTCCTGAGCACCACACTGAACCCCTCAGCACCTGCAAGGGAAGGCTCTGTAAAGGGCACCTTGCAGGGACACACACAGCCTGGGCTCTCTGTCTCTCCCTCAGACTTGAAAGCAGCCCAGAGGGCCAAGAAGAGCGGAGGGGAGTGCTTTGAGACTTGGGAAGTGGCTTACAAACGCCTGCTGGAGCTGGCAGAGGATGGGAATGTCGACCAGCTGCTGAGTAGCTTCGTCGAGAAGGAGCAGAAGAGCTTCGCCTGCTTCCTCTATGCCTCTGAGCTCAATGACGATATGCAGAAGTTGCAGAGGAAGATCCAGGAACTCCAGGTCTGTTCCAGGCTCTTCATGTCTCCCCTCTCAGCTGGTGGGTTTTGGGCTGGAGTGGGTGTTTCCTTTCCCGTGTGTCCAGCATCACTGCCCGCACCAGAGCCCTGCTCTCAGCCTGCCATAAGGGTGGGATTAGGGGAATGGAAAGAGATAGCTAAAAATACAACTCCGATAAACAGAACCGTGTTCTCGGAGCTAAAAGTGTCTCAATGCTGCCACCGTGTACCCAGCAAAAATACTGCAGCATCCAGGAAAGCCAAGAGCTGCCTTTGCCTCACTCCGTAGCTGGAGTGAGAGAAGGGGACATCACCTGCCCTCCTGGACTGGGGCCAGAGGGGTCAAGTGGGATGTCTCTGCTCCCAGGATGGAGGGATGGTGCCCAGCCTCTGTTAGGCACATCTGGTGGGCATTCAGGCAGTATCCCCTTTGTGTGCTTGCGTTTATACAGCTTGAAATTGCATCCCTCATGAAGGGTCAGAAGCATGCAAAGACCAAGAGCTTTCATCTCATGAAGGAACTGGAGGTAAGGCAGCCAGGATTTCCCTCTGCAAGGGCAGCAGATCCCTGTCTGTCTTGGCATGTCCCCTTGGGAGTCTGGTCCTGCTGATGCTGCTCTGGCTAATGTCAGAAAAGGGCCCTGCATAGGCTTTGGCAGCCCTGTCTCTCAGTGCACAGTGAGAGGGTGGTTGGAGGGCTCCTGGCAACCCTGCTCCCCCTTGAGCCTTGTCCTTGGCATGGGGAGCTTAGGATCCCCTTCACAGAGCCTTTCCCCTGCAGGGATGGGAGCATCCCACAGCCTCTCCTGGGACGTCTCCGGTGTCCAGACTGGAAGTGGATGGGACTGGGGCTGGGGGGAGAGCAGGGAACTGGTGTGACACCTCGCAAAACCTTTGCCGATAGACAAATCTAACGGAAAGCACCGAGGAAGCCAACTGCTACGAAGACCTGTGCAAAGAGAGAAGCAAAATCCTGGGCCAGGTCAAATCCAGCATGGAAATCCTGATCAGAAAAATCGACTGCGACACTACGGACATAATGAAGCAGCTTGGAGAAAAAGGAGAGATCACGGATCTGAACCTGATGCAGTATTTTGGTGAGTCAGGGCTGCCCATCTTCTCATGCCACATGGCCTGGATCTTGTATGTCCGCCACCTGCTTGCACTGTGTTTTAATTGAGCTAGTTTCACCCCCCTGTCCCATCATGGATGGGTGTCCCTAATGTGATTTTGTGATGCCAGATTCCCAGCAAATTCAGGAGCTAACCTGGCCATCCCTGGAAGTGCTCACAAACCATGTAGATGAGGCCCTTAGTGATGTGGTTTAGTGGTGGACTTGTCAGTGCTGGGCTAAAGGTTGGACTTGATCCTAAAGGTCTTTTCCAACCTAGTTGATTCTATGATTCTATGATCCCAGTGGGCCCCCAAGCCCTCATCTTGGCTCTGGGTGTGGGACCCAGCCTTGGACTCTTGTTCCTGGGGAGACAAGCTGCCTGACAGCACTTCCATGGGGAAATCCATGGATCCCCTTCTCAGCAAACATCTGGGGGTGGGTTTGGGCCCACAGAAGCCCTGTAGGATGGTGTTTCTTCCCACACAGGTCTCATGGAGAAGAAGACCAATGAGCTCCTGCTGCTGGAGTCCATCCTGCGCTACACACTGACTGAAGGCACCTCTCTGGACCTGCCCTTCACCAACCCACTGCTGGGAAGCCCTGAGCTCCTCCAGGAGATCAACTGGTCCCAGATCTGCCCACCACCTTCCACCCTGAACGACAACAGCAACGCCATCGATGCCTGTGAGTGCTGTAGGCGGGAGGGAAGGGCTGTGTCCATGCAGCCAGACAATCCATGATTCCTACATCCCGTTGTCAGCCGTCCTCCCCAGCTAATCCCACCCAGCCTGTCCTGCCCTACCAGGTGTATAAGTGGGAATGTATAGCTGTACACAGGTATATAGGGTGTGTGTGATGGGGTGGATGTTTTCTTGGGCAGTGGAGGTGCCTCTGGACCACAGTCAGCTCTGTCAGATGGTTCTCCAGAACCACAAGAAGGACTGGGACAACGCTGCTGGCACAGATGAGAATGCACCGGGGATGGAATAAATAGTTTTACTCTTGAGTTCCCCTCTGCTTCTGCATCCTGGACATCATTCCATCTCCCTTCTCCTCTGGAAGGAGCCCAATGCCTTTTGCAGGCTTCAAAAGGTGCTATTTCGGCATGGCTTCACCCACTGCTGACAGCTGCTGTGTAAAGGGCCCACTGCTCTCCAGTGGGATGCTGTCCCCATGGCACAGCCTAGCACCCTTCCTGCAGCCAGGCATTATGTAGCTACTAGGGAGGAGATGAGGACCACAGTCCCAGTCCTGCCCTATGCCTGCCCAAGCAGTGTGCTTGCTGTGTGTTCCCTGCTAACCTGGAAGGAGCAGGCAGCTCTCTGCTGCCTGAAGTAAAGCTGAGCTCTGTACTGGTCCTGGGCTGGTGGGACCAGATGGCTGCTTGCCACAGCCCAAACAGGCTGTCTGGGGCTGGGAGCTGGGCCAGGCTGGGCCATGTTGAGGCAGAGGGACTGGGGGCACATCGGGGTGATATGCAGTGGGGCTGCAACAGTGGGTTGCGGGTCTGGGAGGGATCCAAAGGCACAGACACACCACACAGGCACACCACACAAGCCCAAGCACTGTTCACACCAGCGGCTGAATTTCTTCTTGCCAAAAGGCAATTTAATGGGGATGCCATTCACACGTTCCCCATGGAACATGTGGGAGCCAGAGAGAGGCGATCTCGCAGTGCCCAGTTAGTCCTTCTCTTCGCCGTGTGTAATGACATGGACGAGGTTTTTGTAATCCAGGTTGCCAGACATGTCCGGAGGGAAGGCTGCGAACATCTGCTCCACCTGCCGGGAAGGAGACAGGTTGGAAAAGTGGCACAGGAGGGGTTTGTGCCTGGGGCTCTGTGGGGATGGAGGGAAGGAGCTCGTACCTCTTCCTGGGAAAACCTCTCGCCCTGTGTCATCAGCATTTCTTTGATGCTGCAACCAAGAGAGTGTGGTGAGCACCAGGGAGGCCTCAGTGAGGACACCCGCCCTCCCCTTGGGCAACCCCTGCACTCACTAGGCAGATTTCAGTCCTTTTCCCTCTGGATCGAACACCTTGAATGCATTCAGGATCGTCTCCTCCGGGTCTGCTCCTGCGGGTGACATGGGCACAGCCATTGGATGCAGTGGAGGAGGAAACCAGCTCCAGCCTCCTGCTTCCCACAGCCTTTGGGGTAGAAAGGGAAGGCTGGGAAGCATCATTGCCACAGGAATGTGGACCCTGCAGCTGGGGCCTCAAGTGGAGGTGGTGGCTGTGGAGGAGCAGAGGCAGGGCTGTGGTGTGGCCGCAGAGCAAGCTGTCACCACCGCCTGGCAGCCGGCGTCTATCTTATCTTTGGGTGTATTTATAGAGCTCCAGGCTTTTGGGGCTGCAATTCCTCCTGGAGAGCTGCAGGGAGGCTGCATGCCCCGGGCTGTGTGTCAGCAGGCTCTGACAGGTGCAGCGGGATCTCTTTGTCCCCTTCGCAGCCTGTTGTGGTTCTTAAAGGTTGGGGAAACTGAGGCACAGAGATCTGCTCACACCACAACAGGCTGGAGAGGTATGGAATGAGATCCAGGTCTCCAGATGGGCAGCACCAGCCCTGTCTGAGACTGTATTGCAAATCAATGTGAATTTTGGGGTGCAGGGATCTCACTGGGGACACTTGCTCAGGGTGCATGATGCTCTTTGTCCTGTCTGTGGTGTCTCAGGACAGGGAAGTAGGGAGAGCACACAAGTCCAGGATTTGGAGGATGATAACTGGAATTCTTGGGAAGAGAGGTTGTTGCTGGTGAAGATCCCACCATAGACTCTATCTTTGGGGGGTCCCTGTGCTGTCATCGGGAGAAGATGGCATTAAGAGGGATGTGAGAGGGATGTGAGAGGGATGGTCAGAGGGATGTGAGAGGGATGGTCAGAGGGATGTGAGAGGGATGGTCAGAGGGATGTGAGAGGGAGATCATTTCACAAGTATCCCGTGGTTGTCCCCAGGTTTGACCTCTTGGCCATAGCATGGGACCATCCCATTTCCCATGCTCTGCATGCCGCAGTACAGCAGCCAGTACCACTTGCTTTCCTTTAGCAGCTCCCATCTGTAGCCTCCAAGGACCATCTGAGGGATCTCCGTGGAAGGGTGATAGAGGCCCTGGGAGCTGTGTGGCTTCCCCAGGTGGGACAGGATATTGGTGATGGTATCAGTGCCCACTGACCCCCCAGCTGCCCTCTCACCCTTGAGTTTCTCCCCAAACATGGTGAGGAACACGGTGAAGTTGATGGGGCCGGGTGCCTCCTTTATCATCTCATCGATCTCCTCGTTCTTCACGTTCAGGCGCCCTAGAGGAGAGCAGCAATGGGTGTCCATGTCCAGATGCAGAGATGTGCAGCCCTCCAGGCTCTGCTCTATGTGCCAGGAGCTAAAAGACACACCACGGGAGCCTTTCCCAGGGGTTTTCCCCCATCTGAAGCAGCACAGCCCTGGGGAACCATCTCTGACAAGGAAGGGCAATGAAGAAGTGAAGATGGGAGAACTGTGTGCTGATTTCCATCATCTCCATCTCTGGTTTCTCCAGCCACAGGATCATACAGCCCTGCAAAGGGCTGAGCTGTGCTGCTTCCTTCCCTCACTGCCCTATGGAGCAGCCTACTTCAGCCCTGCTTGGAAGATATTTTGGGTTGAAATCAACAGTGCTGCTCCCCCGTGTCAGAAGTGAACAGGACTGAATGCCTACATCCTTTTACATGAGGTTGGGTGTCTTTGGGACTCCCCATCCCCATCACTGGTTCATGCTGGCCTCTGTGATCAGAGAGTCAAGCTCACAACTTCACAGCTTCCCACAAAGCCCATAAATGCCCCTAATGCCCGTACACCCAGGGCTGCTGTGGGATGGGCCTAACCAGGTCCTTCTTAGCTAAGAGAAGGCAGGGAGAATTTGGCCATGTACAATCCAGCAGTTGGACCTCTGGGATAAAATGCCTGCTGCTGTGGGATCTGCTCCCACACAGAGCTAACAGAAGTGGGTTTGGATCAGGAGGTTTTCAGTGAAGCAGCAGATCCAGTTACCGGTGGGGCTTGGTTAAATGGGGGCTCACAGCTGGTTTCTCACATAATAGGTCTGATATTGTCTAAGCTGTTAGGGAGGATCCTAAAGAGGGGCTCACCAAGTGCAGCGAAGGTGTCTCTCAGATCTGCCTTGTCGATGAAGCCATCCCGGTTCTGATCCATGATGGTGAATGCCTGGAAGCACAAGAGGAGGACAGGGAGCACAGGGAGAGGCTTTAGTATCCTCCTCCTCCTCCTCCCTTCGACTTGGATGGGACAAGGGCACCTTGAGCCCTCACAGAATGGAGCAACAACCACCACCCAAATCCAGCAGCAATCCTAAACCCCTGCACCCTTGGGTGTTTGTGGGGAGACGGCTTCCTATGGCAAACCCCAATGCTGTACAGCACCATGTGCCAGCCATGCAGGGGGAACATCATGCAGAGCTGAAGGTCACATCGCATCATGGACGCTCGGTCATCCAAACACACCTACCTCTTTGAATTCCTGGATCTGGGCCTGCTCAAACATGGAGAAGACGTTGGAATTAGCACCTTCAATCCTCTTCTTGGCTTTCTTGGGTGCCTGCAGGGGTTCAGGTATGTATCACTAATTCACTGGCTTTTTATGGCGTGGAACAAAAGCATGAAACTACCCTATTTTTAGGTGAGTCCTTCATGGTAGCTCTGGGTTGGTGCTGCTGCTCTGCTGTCTTCCCTGGGTGCTTGGTGCATTGCTCAGCTCTGGACGCATGCAACCTTCCAATGTCAATGGATGTTAAGATTCTTGCTTAAATTACAGCTCTATCTTTGCTTCCTTGATGAATTTAACCAAATAGATCCCAGGAGAGATGAGCTGGGAAATCACTTCCCCACCAAAGGCTATGGCAGTAAAAGGGTCGGCACTGGGGTGAGACTGAGATCTCCCTGGGTGGATATCCAGCTTTGGGAGTGCGCTGCTGAGGTTGCACCCAAGGGCTGTAGTCATCGGGTGCTTCCTTACCCTGCTGTGCCTCACTGAGAACTCAGCTCTTATTAAACTGCTTAATAAAAGAATCTGCCTCCTCCTGCTGTGAGGCTTGAAACAACCAGAAACAGCTCAACTTTTATAAGGAGCAGAGGACAGAGCCGCTCGCCATCCCACCCTGCCCGTCATCCCTCTTCCCAGCCTTTCCCTCTAACCAGGGAGGGTCTGCCAGAGAAGGGATTTTAGGGAATACAATAGCCCTTCCTCTCGCTGTATGGAGGAAGGGAAAGCAGCAGGATGGTATTTGGATCCCCAAACCCTCTGCCCCCGTTAGAAAGCTCTGCTAGTGTGGGATACACCTCTCTGTTCCCCACAGGATGCTGCTGATGCAGCCAGATTTCTCACCCCCTTCCCAGGGCAGGAGGGACCTTTGGCCATCAGATCCCTGTCCCCTCCATCATTCCCTGCATATTAAAGCTATCCTGGTGAAAAAGCTGACAGAGTTTGCCTCTTCCCATTGGAATTCTGGGCTCTGGGTACTCACCATGGCTTCACGCAGGTACCGATGTTGCTGCGAGAGGTGTCTCAGAGGCAAGACTCTCCTTCCCCTCGGGCTGGAACAATAAATACATCCCACCCCGGCTTAAAAATAGCCTCATGCCCACTTTTGGCTGTGGTAGGTAAATCAGCCACCCCCAGCCCTCTTGTCTCCGTCTCCCTCCGTCCCCCTCTCTCTAATCTGGAATAGCAGCTTCTTGTCAGCGGCTGACGTGACATGTGAGAGCCAGAGAGGGTTTCAAGGTTAACCAAGTGGCCCCGCAGCTCCCACACTGCAGATGCTGACCCATGGTGGGGACTGCACAGGAGCAAACCCACCTGTGTTTGTCACTCGGGATGGGGCCGGGCTTTTCCCCTCTGCTGGGGGACAGGCAAGGAGGGTTTGGGCTGTGGGGACCCCCAGTTACAGTCACCCAAGGATAAGGGTGTTTTGCCTCGGTCCTACCAGGCAGCTTTGGGAGCCTTCATCCCTATCACAGTGTGGCAAAGCAAGGTGCTGTGGGTAGAGAAGCACCCGTGTCCTGCCTGCAACTGGGTCCCATCACTGTGATGCTCCGAGGGCCTGACCACCGCATCTCTGGTCGAAAGGTGACCATCCTGCTGCATGCAGCACCCCATGCAGCTCTGGGACAAGGCTGGGTGTGATGCTGAGTCCCGGCAGGCACGCAGGGCTCCTCTCATGTGTCACTCCCCACCGAGGCACCTGTCACACACTTAAGCCAACCACTTGCTCGTCCTGGTCCCAGTGACATGCATGGGATTAACTCTCCCCATCCCGAGTGCGGAACTGCATCCTGCAGCACCCTGGAGCAGCAGCACTGGTGCCACCAGCCATCACGGTAGGACAAAGGGTGGTGGGTTTAAACTGAAACGGGGAGCTAGGATTAGATCTAAGGCAGAAGCTCTTCCCTGTGAGGGTGCTGAGGCGCTGGCACAGGGTGCCCAGAGAAGCTGTGGCTGCCCCATCCCTGGCAGTGTTCAGGGCCAGGTTGGACACAGGGGCTTGGAGCAAGCTGCTCCAGTGGAAGGGGTCCCTGCTCATGGCAGGGGTTGGAGCTGGGTGAGCCTTCAGGTCCTTTCCAACCCAACCCAGTCTGAGATTCTATGACTCTATGGCCTTGACGTGGTGGCTGGGGCACGGGTGCTGCTGGACTCACTGCCTGGAATCATCCCCTCTACATGCCAAGGAGGCTGGAGGGCTGGAACAGGGCTGGGAACAAAAGAGATGATGAAATCAGATCCCTGGAGCTTCAGGCTCTGCCCAGACACTGCCCTTGTTCCCCCAGAGGACACAAATACCCTGCTTAATCCCTGGCACTCACCATCCGGATGCACTTCAATAGTGGGCTGACACGACCGAGACAGTAAGGATGGTATTACAAGGAGGATTTAAGAAGCCAGCAGGGAAATGAGTAGGGAAAAGTGCCCAGGGAGGGGAAAACTCCTGATCCGGGAATGGCTGCCTCATCTGGATGGAGCTGCAGCTGAGGGAAGGGATTTCAGGATGGGGTTTGGGCTCTCTCTGAGCAAAAGGGCAGACAAGAGAGCCGAGGGGCAGGGATGGAGAGAGGACCAAACCCAGGCATAGCTAGGGATGAGGGGGAATCAATCTTGGTGTGGATGCTCCCTCCTCCTGCCAAGTTCAGCTGGATTCATTGCCCAGCCGAGCCCAATTACCTTAATTTGTGGCATTAAGGAAAAATCCATAAGCATCAGGGAAGTGATGTGTAGCAGTTTAATGGGACTGGTTGGCCGTGGAGCCGCCGGCACCACCTGGATGCTGCCCATTGCCATCCATGGCTCCATGTCCATGGCCGCACATGGCTGGTGGTGCAGGAGGCAGCCCTGGAGCCATGGAGATATCCTAGATTGGGGTTTCTTTGTGGGGAAACACCATTTCTCCTTGCCCAGACTGGAATAGGTCAGACTTTGGTCTCTCCCCTGCGTTGTCCATGTTGTGGTTGGGGGTCCAATGGTGGCTGGGGTCTTCGAGGGGCTGGATGTGCCGAGTGCGGCACAGGAATGCTGGCTGGGAATGGGGTGCAGATGGCTGCCTGTGCTTCTGCTGCGATTTGTAAGACGGTGCATCTGCTCCAGTGCTCACTTCTCACTGTCAGACCTAATCCTCTGTGCTGCACAGGCCGGATCCTGACCCCACAGTGAGGATCCTGGTCAAACGTGGGGATGGAGGTGGCTTCAGGCACATCTTTTCCTTCTCCTGCTATGGATATAGGGGGATTTACTGGCATCCAGGAAAAAGCGAGTGCTTTAAATATGGATGTATGTACATATATGCCTATAGAGCCCCGTAGTGAACAAAAGAGCTGTTGGGAAGTAGCTGCGGCTTGTGAATGGATGTCAGGAATAACACACGTCTCTGCGCCCGTGGCAAAAGCGAGCGTTGTCCTTCTTATCTGCAAAAAAAAAAGGCTGTGTTTTACATGAAAAAGCCTTTCTAATTAACAGGACAGCCCCTCTTGAGCTCGATAAAAAACGGAGTCAAAAGGATTTGATTAACCCCTGCTCTGTTCACGGCGTGTGCTCCGCCTGAGCCAGACGCGTGCCTGTGCCCAGCCAAGTCCTGCCCATGGCCGATAACGGGCTCCATCATCCCATGGAGCCCAGCAGCATCATGCCCAGGGGTAGTCCCATCGATGGAGGTGATCTGGGGGGGTTCCAGGCCCCCAGGGCCACATCAGTGGGTCGGGCTGCTCCGGAGCCATGGCTCAATCCGTGCCATTGCAGTTTCCTTATGAATATCTTCTGCTCCAACTGACATTCTTCCCTGCGATCAGATACATTTGACTAAACTAATACATATGTATACACACCAGTACATTCCCATTCAAACCAATGTAAATTACCTTTGACCAATACGTTTTCCTGGGAAATCAATGCATTTTAACACGGGATAATATTTATGAAATTGAATTTTTTATTGAAGCTAATGCAATTCTCTTCTATTTTATGCATTTTTATTAAACTAATGCATTTTAAATTAAACTGTTGTATATTAACTACAACGGCTGTTGGTACTTACCGTGAAATAATATATGTTTGCTGAAATCAATACATATTCCAAACCTAGGAATTTCCCATTAACAAGGCTATATCAAATATAACAAATGCATGTAGCTACTTAATTTGATGCTTACATACACTGCCTGCTGCATTTCTTTATTGGTAATGATTATTTTTAAAGGGAGAAAGATTATTAAAGGTTAAAGGATGGATTCCTGTGCAGCTGCAGTTGGAAGCTGGTGGTGGTTACCCTATCCCTGGTGCTCACACTGATGGTGGCCATTGGGGTAGCCAGGGCATTGCAGTGCTGAGGCCCGTTCTCTGCCACCGATGGCCTCTGTGTCCTTGGCCACATCCCTGCCTCTCATTTCCCATCACATTGGGGCTTGGGGGGATCCTTTCCTTGGGCTCATCACACTCCCCCCACAGCCCCTTTCTGCTGGCAGCGTCTTCAGGAGGGTTTTATCCACCTCCCCTTGGAGTTCAGAAGGTTTCCATGTTTAACAGCTTATTCCAGACAGACTTAATTTAGCAGCTTTTCCTGATTCAGCTCCATTTTCCCTTGGAAGGATATATCACTGCAGTAATGGCCAGGAGGGTTTGCCCAGCTCAGGAGCTTGGGGAGGAGCTGCCACCCACTAAACAGAGCTGGGGACGGGCTGCCCTGAGGATGGGGATGAGGATGAACAATATCCCATCCCCAAACTGGCCTATCTGGGATGTGCCTTGTGCTGTGCACAGGATGCGGCCCCAGGAGGAGGTGGCCATCCTGGCCTCTGGAGCTACGGCGTTGACAAGGGAAAAGCCATAAATAGCAGCATTATCCACTGTGCGCGCCGAATGGTGCCATAGTTGAGATGATTTGGGCAAGGCAATAAAAGAGGAAAATTAATTAAAGAGGATGTGCTAATTGTAAAGGGAATATGCCTGGATAGAAGTGGCCGTGGCAGAAAGACGGCTGGTGGAGGGGCCCGAGCATCCTTCCACTACATCCTGGGGTACCCCCGAGATACCGAGGGCTGAGGCCGGGCACAGCTCAGCGCATGTCCCACGGGTATCGATGGGCACCAAGGGGAAACGGGAGAGTCCCCCGTGGTGTCTCAGCCTGCACTGCTTTGTCCCCATGATGCTCCCCATGCCCCTCAGTGTGCCCCATAGGGGTTCTGTGTATCCCCAGCCCTTCCGGTGCCCTCCGGTGCCCCCGCCCCGGCCGGGTAGGACGCGCTGCAGGTGCCGCGGAGGCCACCAGGTGGCGCCGTTGTAGCGGGCGCTGTGCGGGCGCTGCCCGGACCCGGTAGGGCGGGGGAGAGGGGCGAGAGGGGAGAGGGGCAGGAGGGAGCGGGCTGGGTACCGGGACAGGGGAGATGCCACAAAGCTGCATCACCTGCGGTCACGGGCTTCTGCTCCATCAAACACCTTAAACCATGTGTGAGAAGGTGGGAAAGGGACTGAGCGGCCCCATATCCAGCTGCGGGGCTGGCAGAGCCAGGCAGCGCTGGGATAGCCCTGGTGTCTCCCGCTGGAAGAGGCAGAGACCCTGCAGCGGGGGCACTGGGCAGGCAGCCCCTTGTGACAACTGACAGGGGCTGTGCTGTGTTCCCCTGCATGGGATGGGGACAGAGCTCTGAAGCAGTTGTTTGGGTCTTCATGAGGGTCTTCCTTCTGTAGGATGAGCCCCAAGGCCTGACTTGTCCCCACTCATCCCTTGGTGGGGCTCCTGCTGTCCTCCTGCCTGTCCTGGGGACAAGGCCAAGCAAACCCGCCATCACCATTGGCTCATGGCTCTTGCTGCCAGCATCACCCCTCGACTGCATAATGGGGCCGGATCACCGCACAAAGGGCTTATGTGGATCAAAACCATCGGGAAGATGCGAATAAATTGGATGGGAACGTGCTGAAATCTAACTATTATTTTCTTTTTTAGGTACACAGAAAAGCCCCTTCCATATTTTAATTAAAAGCCTTTCAGAAGAGGAGGCAAGGGGCTGCCGTTTACAACGGGCTATTGTCAGGAGCACAAAGCAAGCCCTTCTGGAGACAAACTGATTTATTAACCTGCACCTCGCAGCATTCCCTGAGGCAGGGAAGCCGGGGGGGGGGGGGGCACACACAGTGGGATGGGATCCCCCTGCTCTCCTGGGATGCCCCAGGACCAGCGGGATGGTGCCTTAGGGAACACAGGAACAGGGGGACACAGGGGGAGCAGGGATGGAGCGTGCCACCCTGCAGCTCTGCATCCCTCTGCGCAGCACAGGGTGCAGTTCCTCTCCTCTTCCCTATGGCTCCCATTGATTTGTTAACGATTTGGCCAAACAGAAACATTCCTCCAAAGCCCACAATTTAATTTGCTCACCAAAATGCCCAGTTAGCTTTGTTTCTGATTGATGAGCAGGCTCTTCTGTTCCAGAGAGGGGCAGTGATTTATGGGCGTGAGATCAGCTTTGTGGGTGCAGGGGGATGGCCTGGGACCTGTCTCTGATGGTGTCCAACAGCAGATGCCTGGAGCATCTTGTCATGAACATCTCAATCCCTGTCACTGGCTTGGAGAGACCGCTGGCACCCAACAGCTGACACCAGCTCTCACCCCAGGAAAGACCATCCATCCCACCTGAGCTTATTGGCCCATCTATAATCCAACCTCCCCCTGTGCATGGCCCTTAGAGGGATGGAAGCCAATTCCCTGGAGGAATCCTCCCTTTACACGACCTGCTCTCACCTCTGCCTAATTACAGCCTCATTAAGCCAAACGTGAAGCACTTTCCTGGCACCACCTGCAGCCCCAATCTCCTTACGAATCTCAGCACCTCCCACTGCTTTGGGCTCTTTGATTCTTTGGGTTAAGAGAGAATCTATTTATAGGGCTTAGGTTCCCAGAGCAAAGCTGGGCCCTTGACATAGGTGCACCCAAGCAGGTGCAGTGCAGAGGCATGTGATGGTCGAAGGTCTCAGAGCACCCATGGGGTTTGCTGCTGATGGTAACAAGGTTGGGGTTTGAGCTTGGCATTTGCAAACTGCACCAGTTCCAAGTAGATGCTTCTGTTGCAGCACCATGAGGAGGAACTTCTGTAAGAGTCCCCTTCTCCAGGCAGCTCTGGAGGTGTGGAAGAAGCTGGACCAGGGCTCGCAGGAGCACCCTGGCTCTAACACAAACTGCCCTGGCTCTTGCAAAGCTTTCCTTTGAACTTTGATTTTCTGTTCACTTGTTCTTCTGCCTGAGGCAATTTGCGACTGTGGGATCCCAAACAGCTCCAAGTTTCCCTGAGCGGAAGAGATGAGAAGGAGGAGATCATTCCCTGGTGTTCACACTATAGCGTGGTGCCAAGGTCACTTTGGGTGCCTGCTTTATCCTTTTGGGCTGTTGTCCTGGCCCAGGTGAACTTCAGACAGCAAGAAGGGAAGGAGCAGACGGGTCCCTGTGGTGGCTGGGTGTACCTGCAGAGCAGGGTGCAGTTTGGAGCGTGTTCTTTTGGTGCCTTCTGGACAGAAACTGTGCTTTTTGGTGGAATCCCAGGAGTCCTGTACAATGCAGATAATGGCAGCAGGATGATACCTGGGCTGCCAAGCGAGGCCAAGGCACAGGGGCTGCTTCATCCCTGCATCTCCAGTGCCAGATCTACTGCAAGGAGCAAAGCTGAGAGCTTTGGGGCTGGGATGGTGAAGGACTGAGTGAGAGCTGCAGGAGCACATGCCCTGGGTTTGCTGGTGTCCATGCACACAAGGAGCAGAGGCTGTTGGGATCCTGACCACCTCCCTCTGAGCACCGGGATCTCCAAAGCACCAAATGGTGACAGGTAAGCCAAAGGGGGACCAGTGTGATGGGGTGCTGCAGGATGCCCTCCTCCTCTCTGCAGTTTCAGAGGCAAAGCAGCACCCAGGTTTATGAGCCCAGGGCAATGCTTCATCCCCCATTGTGGGGTGGTTGGGACCCCAGCTCCTCCACACTGGATCTCAGGTAGGGCAGCTGGGATGTGGGCTTGTGTCACAGCCTGGCAGGAGCCCCAGGCTCTTCCAGGCATAGGGCTATGCACGTGTCTGCATGACAGACAGCTCGAGGTGTGCCCTGCTCCTTAGCAGGAGCATTGAACTGCTGCGTTTGCTTGGTCTGCAAATACCCACCTGCAAAACGTACCCAAAGGGGCAGCTTTGGGCACTCAACAGGGACTGCTGGCAATCACAGCACGGCTCTGCCTGGGATTTAATGCTCAAAGCCCTATGTTTGGATGTCGGTGTGGTTGGTACAACGGGATATGGGGAAACTTGGGGCAGAAACCATAAAGTTTGGGGGCTTTTTGGTAGGAAAGCAAAGGGGGTGTTTATTGGACCGGTTTCGTTACTGCCCGAATGCTGGTGTCTGAGCCCTATTGCTCTGTTGAAGTTGGCTGCTGAATTGCATTAAGTGATTTAAATAGATACTCCTAAATCACTCTGAATTTGGGGATTTTCCCGGCCGGGTTTTGCTGCGTTCGTTGTTCGCTGTTGCAGTTCCCACCAGGGTCAAAGGTGCTGCGGATGTGTCAGGTCAGAAACGAAAACCAACTAAACTTTAACGGGCGGCTTCTGGATGCCGATTCCCACCTCCCCGCGGTGCGGGATGCTCGGCAAACCCCAAGCCACCCATCGATCCTCACCCCGGCCATAGTTGGGGGGGGGGTCCCATGGACCCGAGGGGGGGCTGCGGGCGGGGCGAGGCTGCGGCGGGGCCGCCCCCGGCGGTGGAGGCGGGCGGTGCGGTCCGGTGCGGTGCGCTCCGCTCCTCTCCGCGCCCGTCCGCGCCGCCGGGCTCCCCCAAGATGGCCGCCGACGTGGGATCGATGTTTCGATACCGGACGCGGTTTGATGTCCGCCGGCTCCAGGTTGGTGGCGGCGGGCGGAGGATGGATGGAGCGGGGCCGGCGGAGAGTGGGGGGGGGGAATCCGGGCGGCCGCCCCCATCCCTCCCCTTATTCCCCCCCCCCCCCCATCGCTCCCGCCCTCCCTCCGCCCGCCCTTCCCCATCGATAGG